GTTTTTTACTGCCGCTATGGGTCATGTCACGTTGTTTGAACTCCCTACATGGGTTCCTTTGTGATCGGTGCAGCCCCTATAATGCCGGTGAAACTCGTTCAAGGATACACACTGGCCAATCTCTGAGCCTTTATAACGTCCTAACTGGGCCGTTTTCTGACCTAATAGTGCCAGATATGGTATACGCGAGAGCCTCAAATTCTTCTGTGGGGGAATCTCAGAAACCATTTTTATCGTGAACTGTGCCTTTAACAGCAATGAATCGAGTAAAAAAGGAATAAGCATGATGAATAAAAGATTTAAAGCAGTAAATTTAATGGGATGTTTGGTTTGTTTTTCTCACTGAGTAATAAATGTAGATCAATTTTGCAGTCTGAATCCAGTTGAAGCCTTGATGAAAAACATTTCGGGTGTAAATTCCAATCATATGAACGAAATGTTAGGTTATTTTGTGAATATGCAAAACTGTTGTCCATTGTGCCCACGTAGCACTCTATTCCCTGAATACGAAATTCTCGACAGTGTTTCCCGTAAAAATGAAAATTTTGTGAGAAGCTTAAAAAGTTGAATTTCTCATGCATTTTCAAACTTGTGGCCCTTCGGAAATCACTGAATTCTTCAAGCTTGGCAGCTAAGTCCCGTATCTCTACAAAATCATTTATACCGTGGCTCTTTAACAAAATTAAGGTGTAATGATACAGAAGATTTTCTAATTGAAAGGAGCTGTCAATGAAGAAAAGCATGACTATTCCTAGATGCAGAAAGAAAAAAAAGTTCAGAAATTCGCTATACGAATTTTGAAATCTTGTTCAACCTATAACCTGGCTCATTTCAGGGTGAACATTTTTAATTTTACCTCTTGGGGGTTGTCTTTGGTAGCATTCAAGGTGGCTGCATCTGCCAGTGCCAGTGCTGGTGATGAAAAGAATTCTCCCAAGGCTATCAGCAGTAGAAGTAACATGAATGCCTGGAAGTATAGTTTAAAACCAAGAACAAGAACTCTATCATGCGATAGAACGAATTTTCCTGAGGCNTCAGGCGTATCAGTGATAGAACAGAATCATTTCGACGTTTCGTACCCATTCATATAGAGAAAATGCAATAAATCCCCTCGTAGTGAGAAATCTGGTGCCATTTCATCCGGGAGAATTTAAAACTTAGTTAGCTTGACGGGTATCATTCCTGTACTTGTTTCTTAGACCACTCTTCAGTGGTTGCACATCCGAAATAGATTTGCCTCCAGAGGATGGAGAAAGTATTGGAAACAGCTAGGCTCATCTTCCTGGTAGAACAAGGCCAAGTTTTTGGCCGCTGACGTCTTATAAGTTGCTATCTATTCTATTCGCTAGCTTCAATTTTCCAGATTGAAGTTCACCTCAGAAAATCACTTGACTTTCAAGAAAGAACACTGAAAATGCATATGAATCGATGCGGAGAGTAGAGTACCTGTTCAACAGCTGGTTGTCGATAGACTCTGGTTGAATGTGGCGGTGAAACCAAAACTCCGTACTCTCTTTCTTCATAATTGCAAACCTAAAAAAAACCGGATAGCTGAATTACCTTTTTTTGCTTACAAGTGGATGTGAGTATCAAAGACAACAAAAAAAAGAAAGTCAATTTCAAAAGCTTTCAGAAAGGTTGAGGTCGCTGCCGGTCTGGTGAGCGCTGTCTCATTTCTAATTATTTTATTTCAATAGTTTTTTTCATCATTACGTTGCTTATTTCATACAAGGTTTGTTCTTTTCGACTACTTCTTCGTAGTTGGAACTCTGCCAATCTGAAACCTTTGAAACATCCGTAAAGCCGGCAGGAAGCTTACAATTTCCTCCCTCTCTCTAATGTTTGTAGAAACTAACTAAAAACAATCTTCCTACAAGACACTGATGTAAACAATGATGGTGATTCAATGTTTGTTAGTATTTATCTCTTTATTTAATCACTTTTCGAAACTGAAGAAGGAATCGCAAGGTTCCACACCCAGTGAAATTTTGGAGTGGTTTTGGATTCATGTGAGAGGATCTCGACTTACATTCAATTGATAGCAAGTGGAAAAGGGGTAATACTCTTATAGACGTATTCCTTAGTGCGCCTCACTCTCGTCTACAGATGAAATCGTAGATACCATTTTAATACTGATTGGAACTATGTAGTGAACCGCGTGGGTAACGGTAGTACACGTGCCTTTCACTCTAATCCTTCCTTTTGTTATGACAAACGCTGCTTGCCAGTTAAACAGTAACAGACACACATACGAGACTGAACGATCGCTTTATGCGGTTACTGTTTCGGATCGGTTCATAGCATATGCATGTGATGATGTCTGTTTTTGTCACTGTTTGACCTGAATTCCTCATCACCTTGAGTAGGAAATAAATCCTCATAAATAAGGTTTTCTAAAAGGGGGGCCACTACAGGCCTCCCTTTATTGAAAAGGCTTTGAAGGCAAGTTATGGATTTCCTCTTGGCCAGGCACTGAGCCTGTTCTGGGACTTTTCAGAAACTGAGACCACATCCAGTCATATTTCAGATAGCGGAGTTCTCGGAAGCTTTTTCCACTCTGTGTTCTTCTGTGCAGAAATTCTGAATTCTGCGTGTGAAAACCCACATACTGCAGTAAAGGGCGTGTCTTCTCGGGTTTCTCACACGTCATCGTCGTCGTCGTCCCTAGCGGCATGGCCGATGCAAATAGCGTTCCAGAGTTGAGCGACCAAGGTGCGGGGTGGTTAGCATCGATTTATGGGAGAAAGAATGAGGGAGTGAGCAGCAGTCAGCAGCCGAAGGTACGTCAAACCGAGTAACGGAGGATGAAAAAGCAGCGATTTCGTCACACCACAAACCCAACTCAACGTGATTATAAGCTTTCATTGCCATTTTCCCTCTTTCGGCCGGCAGCACTTAGCACCAGGCTTTATTCTCCTGGAGTGAAGCGCTGAGTACGGCGAAGAAAAGGAAGAGAAAGAAGGATGACAAGGATTTCAAGTAGTCGAGAACTAATAAGCATCGCAGATTGCAGAAAAGGACTACCATCTCATGGATGATAGCTTCTGAATAAGGGAGACGAATGGGTAGAGAGTTTTGAGAGCCTTACCTTAGTGCTGAAGCTATAAAGTTACATGTGCACTACTCGAGTAATTCAGACAAATGATTGCTGTGAGAACATGAATTTCGACCGGTACTGTGTGTCGAGAAGAGGATCCTCTCTGAAGTAGACGTCGAGTAGAAACGAGTAGAAAATCCAGGGCAATTTGGGTCAAAAAAGGAATGTGCTGCTAATGCGATTGATTGCGCACATTAAATGAATAGCTAAACGGAAGAGTTAACTATTAAGCACTTTCATTGTCAGAACGACACGATTTTTATNTATATTTCTGGTTGTGGTAGTAAATGAAAGAGACAGATGATTTTAAAATGAGGCTCGTCAGAATTCAGCTATGAGCAGCAGTAGAGCAATAATTTCACTCTAGAGATCATGGAAAGGCTTATAATGATGATGAATTCCAAGTGTTCCCCATGATTGAAGCATTTTAGCGTTTATCCTTCATCTGTCTCGTATTTGGAATGCGCCCCGCATTAGACTTCCAATCATAATCGTGGTGGCGGTTTGGAAGTGTGTGTGCCTTTATAGAGAGTTGTGGTGCTAGCCGATATAAAAGTCGGTGCATTTATCTCCGAGATGAGTCTGATACCAATTAACGGCCATGGGGGGATTCCGGGCTTGGCTGGTTGGGAGGATATCGATTCGAGATTCGATCCGGGATTATGCGTATGTGTTGATGCACCACTTGCCACTATATCACCTCCGCCCGATACGCCATATTACTTCTAACTCTCGCTCTTGAGAGCGGCATAATTGCTTCATAACTTATTTACTAATTTATACTAAGGTATCTGAAAACAAGTGGGCAAACAAACAACATAAAAAGTAGTACAGGGAGGCACCATCTAAAATTTATATACTACACCATTTTCATTTGGAAAGTCATTTTCTGGGACCAACAGTTTGCTAATCCATGAGAACGCATAATGGGCTGTCAATACACACCCAACCTTATTCAGCAGCTTATTTTAACGACATTCGCAAAATGAGCTGTCATTGGAACCACATTCATTAACGGGTAGAAGTAATTAAAAGGTATAATTAAAGGGATTATAAAAAAGGCTTTTTATTGGGGGTATCAAGCATCGGGTGGAATATGTAGATAGGTGTCATTAGATTCGTGCTATAGGAAGTTCAACAGTTGATTCGCTAGTGCACGTTAATTACTATGTCCCCTGACAGTTTTAGGAAAGGAATTTTTGGGTTGTGACCCGGTGCACATCCATGCGAGTGGGTTGGTGGTGGAGCATGTTGTGAAGAACTACTGTAAGAACATCTGCCGTCTAATAGAGATGATAACGTGGACAATTGCTTCGAATGCTCTGTGAAACAAATTAGATTCCGGGGATGATATAAAGAAAAAGAGAATTCCAGGGTCAGGGTGGTGGATGAAAGGTACAGAAACCAATCAAAACGAAAAATATAGAGAATGAAGTAATTTAAAAATGAATGAAATTTCAATAAAGCACTGGTGACTTCAGAAAGTACCCACCTGCTCCTTTGTGATGTACTCAGGTGCAATTCCGGCCACGATGTCCTCTTCATTGTCGAATGTACTCAAATCGATGATTTTCTCGATGATTTCTAAAATCCAGTCATCAAAACCATCAAAAGCTTGATGACATCGTTTATACTATCACTGACGATTTTCTGCTTGACGCTTAGTTCGTCCGACGACTGCTTCTTTTAGCATTCCCAAAGCTCCACCACGAATAACCTTACCAGCAGGTACCAACACCATCTGACATGACGTATTTGCTTCTGAATTGATCAATATCTATTTGAAGCTGACACTTTGAGCTAAAAGATGGATTTACCTGGAACGAGGACTACGCAGTATGGAGTGATTGGTTGAACAAATCCGATTGCCAATGTGAAGACTATTAACGATCCTAACGAAAACAGAAGTAGCAACTTTTGTTTCCTGAAAGAGAAACTCTTATAAGGTCATCTTACCCAATATTTTAGAATTAGTTTTCTCTATGTAACATATCTGCTTCTATCCTGGCATACCTGATGGAAGGTGAAAAATTTCTAAGGTATACTAAAGGATACGCCATGCATTCGAAACCAACTCCGGGTTTTGGCACTTGTCAATGCATCTTATCTGTGTGGCCGACGATCTGTGAACCGAGCGCTTTAACTACTCTAACCACGTTTATTCTGTGAGAATGGAGGGCTTGCTTGGTTAGGCTTGGAATGTAGTCCACTATAGCCAAGTTTGTGACCAACACTTGTCGTTAGTGTCTTATATGTTTTTCTTACATATCAGCTTTGAGAATATGGCTTTTCTGCCCAGGGCCTGTTCACAGAAAAATTTCAAAGCCCATTGACTTTCTCGTACTTTTCCATCAACCAACCAGTTGAAAAATAACAAAGTATTGGCTCACTGACAATTCAATTTCTATTCAATTTCAATTTCTTTTTATGGCATAATAACAGCGTATCATGTTGTCACGCGAACTCTCGCAGCCAAAACCGAAGACTAAACCTACCGTAACCACCCGGTGATTGAGTCGAAAGTTCCGCCCATCACTGTGATTTTTTCTTACATGATTTATACCTTATATATCTCGAATGAGAGCAACGTCTGTGATGTATTGGCACGTAGTGCTGAGGCCACGCGCTCAGGGAGACAATGAAGATCGAAGTGAAAGGAAAGTGATTGCAAGGAGTTCCAAAGAACAGAAAGAGGGGCGTGAACAAGAAGGACCTTTTACCTTTCAGAAACTAAAGTAACGGCAGAAGATGCCGTAGGTGGAGAAATTGGCGACAACTCAAATGATGAATGGACCCTGCGTCTGGCTGGAATTAATGCTAGGGAGAAGAAGAATAAGAAGGTTGACTTGAGAAAAATTTAGTTTGGTGAACAACATAGCTCTGCAGGGTAAGTCACTTCTTTGTTACCATCTGCGACTCCTGCTGGAATTTGAAATAGTTGGTCCTTCCTATTTGCACATTCAACCATCTTTTGGGTTTTATAATTAAAAGCGGGGTATCGAGAATTGCCAAGTTCGATTCGAAATTCGATTTCCATGACGTATATGCGTGATAACTTCTAGGAAAAGTCAAAGCCCTTTCCATCCAGGTAAACTTGGTCCTAATCGTTAAGATTCCAGTGTAGCCGAATGAGTCGGCAAGGATCTAATAAGAAATGACTAAACAAAAAACATGAACATGAAATCCTCAGAGTTCTTCTCCATCCTTGGGCTTCGGCTGTCTCATTTTGAAAAAAGTCATTCATTCCACTTCCACTCAGAATGTTTTGAATCCGCCTATCACGCCTACGATAGCTTGACATATCGGGAAGCTGATTCCCACACGGACTTGTCCGTGGTATTTGGGTGTAAGATTTTATCCTTCTCATGAGTACTTCACAATAATAGCACTTTTCCCTCTATCCTAAGGCTATTTCAATAGTTTTTAAGCGATTTTTGGGAAATGGTTGTGTAGAAATGGTCCCCATGAACTTGTGTAATGAATTTTCGTGTCCCTTGCTCGCAAAGAAACAGTTAAGTCGATAATTAGGGCTTGCCCGAAAATGTCAATGCCTCCACAAGGTGCTGAGCGCCTTGTAAAGGTGCTGAGCTCAATTGTTTGCCGAAAACCCGTCGTTCGGGTAGGTATCACTTCATAGGGTCTTATGGGTGTGGGGGGCAGAGAGGGGAGGGGTTTTTTGGCGTTTCCTTGCAGCTCATGCCATTCAGCGTAACTCAAAAGGCTATCGCCTTTTCATCTTCCTGGGTGCTGGTTACTAAAAGGCTCAATTAATCCTTAATGCTGCAGCTGTTGATCGATTTAAGGTTCACTTACTTGCCGCCTCCAACGTATCCAACAGATTTTCGATGCGGCGTTAAGCTTAACGGATCTCAGCTAATTGTGATTCTTCCAAAAGAAAAATCAACTTCACATTCTCTTTGTTATGGGGTAGCTAGGTCTGACAATAAGACAGAAATCAATTTCTTGCAGTTAGGGGCCAAGCTAATCAGCCCGCAGTATATGCTATGCAGCTACATATATCAGCCTGGAAAACAGCTGAAAACAAAGCCGAATATGGAACGAAGCTGCTTCCCCCGGGGAACAGCAAGCTAGCATGCATATGAGAGAGTAATGTCGGAGATAGAGCAAGAGAAAAACTAATAGTTAGAACTGGACTGCAAAAGGATTCCCTATATAAGCGGTGCTGAGAGTTTTCCCACCTCGATAGCGATAATTATGTGAAAACCAAGAAAGGCTGTGAAAACTGGCCAAGCCGATTGTAGGTGATATCATAGTAGAGCAACAACTTACAAAAGTAAATTATACTTTAAAGAACAAAAAACCACCTGAAACGACTAGCGAAGGAACCCCAGAATGGGCCGGCTGCGAACTCCACAAGTGGTCGACTCCCAAGTAGCATCCCAGCCTAAAAAGAAACACAACTTAAATACACACAAAAAAGAAAAGAAAAAACAGCAGCATTCAAGAAAACAAAGTAAACAAGTGGAGTGGTTCTTCTCGACCCCTTAAATCCGCTCTAAGTTTTACTATGGAGTAGCTCCAACTCATTGTAGCTTACAGCAGGTCCGAAAATGATCCTCTAAGAGAAAGTTTCTAAAAGTTCCTGGGACTAAACTTCAAAAACGAGCCCGAAGAACTGCAAAAGTAGTTTTTTTT